CAAAAATGTCACTTACGCCCTTCTGGTTCTCACCCCTCGATATATGTATGTAAACTTAATAAAAACTTTCAATTTAAACATCATCCCTTGGATGCAACCATACAATTATATTATTTGTAATAATAATAACAATAAAAACAAATTGTAATGTGCCTTTCTCTCATACACAAGTGCTACAACGTTTCACAACACAAAATAAAAATGTAAACATAATGTATAATAACAATAGACACACAATAACTTTACTAATTTTCATTTGATTCATAATTATTTGAGATATTATGCATACCTATTGTGATAACTGCAAAATACACATCTTGTTATATGTTCCAAATCTATATAAAAAAAATTCAAATGATTGATATGCTTTTTTTTGGCAAGGCAAAATTAGAAAGCACAGGTTTCATTTTTTTGCCATACTGACCTCAAAACATATATAGTTATAGATATGTTATAGATTATATTAATACTCGTTGAAACTATAAAACTTTTTTTTCTTATTTTTTTGTCAGTCAATATGCTTCTCTGAACATGTGGCAACTAAAACTCAAATCGATACTGGTCTGTATTCAATAGACAATCAGAAATGATCTGTGTTTGATGTAAAAGATTTGAACAGTAATGTTAAATGACATTTGATTCAGATAAATTAAATGCATATATTGTTTGAACAACTTGCAAATATGATTCTATGTCATGTACTGTATAAATATTGAATATGAATGTTAATGTTGCTCAGTTTAGCTTATAGAATATCATAGTTTATTCATAATTATCCGTAAATCAGATTTTGATTACTTTACCCATGTATTGTCCACAAAATGAAAACAGCACAAGATGCTTAGTATTTTGATATTATATATTATAATAATACTTTCCGAGAAATGCTTTAACTATAAAACGTGTGATTTTACGTCTTCTTTTTTTGAATTGTTAACCATTATTGACCATTTAATTGACACTTAGCTCATTTATAATTATATAACTTTTACTTTTAGTAATTTAGCAGACGCTTTTATCCAAAGTGACTTACAAATAAGAAAAAGTAATTCAAACTAAAAGCTAAAACTCTATAAATACTATATATATATATATATATATATATATACACACACACATTTAAGAAAATAAAAGAAATTAAATAAAAATGACAAATGCATACAACAACATTTCAAAACGAAAACATCTAAATGAAAACAAAAAAATAAAGCTAAAAACAATTCAAACATACACAAA